CTAAACTTTTCTTTAAATTTTGAAATGCTTGCTGTGTATTACAATGTATAGGTTCCACCAGTTGCTTTTTTTCCAAACGTTCTTGTGCAGCAGAAAGTTCTTTACCCATTCCGGAAGCAGGTAGAAGAATCACTTGTTGTTCTCACCTCTTTCGATTGTTTCCTGAGAACTTTACATTTGTGGAGTGATAACAAAATCAGTGTGTGACAGGTTGGTGGGACGATTCTGGCAGCTAAACTTGCAAAAGAACGTGGATGGGCAATAAACATCGGAGGAGGTTTTCATCATTGTACTGCTGAAAGAGGAAGCGGATTTTGTGCTTACGCTGATATTTCTCTTTGTATTCACTTTGCATTTCTTCGTCTAAGAATATCAAGGTAAAATATGCTCTAATGGTTTCCATTTGCTTCTACTGAAGACCTTTTGATATGTAGATCATCTTCCAAAACCATGTTTTAGTTCTTGACCTTGTTAAACTTGAACAGGGTTATGATAATTGATCTTGATGCTCATCAAGGGAATGGCCACGAAACAGATCTCGGCGATGACAGTATGAGAAACTTTATAATTTTATTTCACGATGCTTGTCGTAATGGTGTTCAATAGGGTGATAACAGTATTTTGTCTGCAGATCGGGTTTACATTCTGGATATGTACAATCCTGAGATATACCCTTTTGTAAGTTGTCATCTTTGGATCTTTGTTCTTTGGAAGTCATTTCCATTCCTTTTAAGTTTGAGTGCAGTTTCATCTATGCTTTTGTGTTTGTTGCATATTAATAGTTGGATTTATCTGCTCTATTTTTTTTCATTTTCTTACAGGACTATGGAGCTAGGAGATTTATAGATCAGAAGGTTGAGGTGGTGGTAAGACTATCCTCTTTCTCCTATCAACTGGAATTAATTTGATTGCTTTGTGTCCCATTATAATTCTATCATTTTTTTGTATATCTTTACAGAGCGGGACCACCACTGATGAGTATTTGAGGAAACTAGATGAAGCCCTTGAGGTATGGATTCAATCATTACCTTAATCTCTTGATTCTTGGCGGTTACGCATGCGAGATAGTCTGACTCGGGACTATAGATTAGGATTTAGAAGCTTGGGATGTAAAACCGTAGCTATGAAGGTGAAAGCTAGAAACTTGGTTCATTGGGAAAACATGATTAGTTAACTATGATGGTGCTATAACTCTCAGGTTGCTTCGCGAAGCTTCCAACCAGAGTTGGTAATTTACAATGCTGGGACCGATATCTTAAACGGAGACCCTCTGGGGCAACTAAAGGTAAGTTGTACACCCCGGATATCGTCTTTCTTTATGAGCAAAGCATAGTTTCTTCCTTAGTTACTAACTTGGTGACTCTTGTGACAGATAAGCCCCGATGGCATAACGAGTAGAGATGAGAAAGTGTTCAGATTTGCAAGGGAGAGAGAGATTCCTCTTGTGATGCTGACTTCAGGTCCGAGATTGGATTTAAACACAACTCAAAGATGTATTGCCTATGATAAGTAATAATGATGGTTTATAAAGGATAAAAAGAAGTTAATGTGATACTTTTGTGCAGGCGGGTACATGAAGTCGAGTGCCAGAGTTATTGCGGATTCCATTGAGAATCTCTCACGTAAAGGCTTAATCCAGACACGACCAGGTTCAGTTTCCACGTGAACCGTTCCTAGAGCCAAAACAGAGCTTTCTATGCGTTGTGTGTACATATGTACAGAGAAAAAGAGAGACTCTTAGACGTGTTTCTCTTGTGTGTGAGAACCTTTGTGTAACGTGTTCTTTTTCATTTAAATGTAATGTGAATTGATAGTATGTTCAATATCAATATAAGAAGAAGAAAACATAGTTAGAGCATGCGAAAATTTAAAATTTTGCTCCGATCCGTTAGTGCAAGTGACATTGTTATCTCTGCAAGATTCTTGAGTTCGTTGTATCTTGAGCTTCAAAACTTAAGACTAGATGGGTTCTTCTGCAGAACAAGTTGGTGCAAGAGACATTCAGATCAAATGGTTTCATTTCATATTTGAGTAATATCAAAATCCAAAATTTTTTTGGCTAAACAAAAAACGAACTAGCTATGATTCTATGACTGTTTCATCTAGCAACTGGTGATCAAAAATCCAGAATAATTGTAGGGGGAATAAGAAAAAACCAATAGAATGCTTTTGACAATTGCGTTTGTAAACAAAACAATACTTAGATTATATTCCCATCCTCATCTCTAAAGAGGAACGTAGCAACTATGTTCATAGCTAAAGGCATCTTCAGTTTAAGATACATCTATCCTTTCTCCGCCTCAAGAACTTATACTCTTCCCATTCTTTATTCCTTATCTAGTTTATTTCTCGGTCAAATTTAATATATATAGTCCAATATATTGAACTACTCACCTACATCAGCTCTAGATAAGCTGGTGTACTAGTACTTCAATAGATTGGACTATATATATTAAACTTGACCAAGACATTTCTCCACGAAAAGATGAACACAAAACTGACTTTTCATCGGAGATTCAATAGGTTTTTTTATTCTTAGATAAGATGGTTCCGGAAAGCAGAGATCATCTTCGGGGAGAGAAGCAGTACGAAGGCCAGAATCGAGCCAAATAACATCTTCACAATGTAACTGAAAGCGTCCGAGGAGTCACTATCTTCTGAGACCACCACATTTGGGTTCCACATTGCTTTCGCTGAAGGAAGCGATTCTATCACTGCATCAGCCAAGTCGGTGATGAAGGACTCGGTGAGACCTAGCGCGGGGACCCGCCCCCAGTTCTCTATCCCTGACTCCAGAGCTAATTCCCTATACTCCATGTCTATCTCTTCAAGAGTCTCAATATGCTCACTTACAAAACTGAAATCCAAAATAAGAAAGGAAAATGAGAAAGCCAAAATAGTCAGATAACTGTAAAATCAAACAAAAATCATCAGACAGCTTCCACATTGTTTATGATGGCAACATGGAAGTATATTTTTTCGAGGCACAAAAAATGAGCTACCAGGATTTATTATATGTTCTCTCACCTGACTGGAACGGCAAGTAGACTCTTAACACCTTTCTTACCAAGATCGACAAGAACCTCGTCAGTGTATGGCTTCAGCCATTGAACAGGCCCAACACGACTCTGGAAAAGAAGGAATAATTGCAAGAATCAATTGCAGTGCTTGACATACGGAGGTAATGCCAAACAATTTTTATAACAATGATATGACCAAACCTGGTATGCCAGTATATGGTCGTTTGGCACTCCTCGGGCTTTTAGCTCTTCCATTATCAAGTCAATACACTCTTCCATCTGTTTCTGGTATGGATCTCCGGAATTCTCTACATAGCTGACCGGAACACCATGGGCACTGAAGAATATCATGACCTAAATCATAAAGACAAGGGACCACTTTAACTACTGTTTGGACTAGAAATGTAAAATGAGGGGAAGAAACAGAGGCAAGAAATTACTGTACCTCCTTAGGATCAGAGAAATTTTGAAGCTCCTTCTCAATGAGGTCAGCCATGGAATTGACATAGCCTCGTCTTTGGTACCAGGACTGTATAATAGCAACTGGCACTCCAGCTAGGTATGCATCTTTCCTGAATGATAGATAATTCATGTTTAAGGGATGCTCATGCAACTGAGATATATTTCGAAAACAACTAAACAAGAATCTATGAATATGCTTTGTGGCGTACACAGACCTGAATAAGTCTTGGAGAACGCGGATGCTTGAACCCGTCGTGGAGATAGAATACTGAGGGTATAATGGTAGTACGACAAGTCTTGTAATCTTGTCCTTCTTAATCTGGTTGAAAGTAAGTAGCTTGTTAAGATAAACATAACTAGGACACGGGCATAAGCAATGGCATCACAACCAATTATGCTTAAGCTGAGAGCAAAAGACCATTAGAATGTAAAATCACCTGCTGGACAGCCTCCTCAGTGAATGGATACCAATACCGCATCCCGACATAGACATTAGCAGCAATGTTCTTTGCTTGCAAGGCCATCTGAATGGCATCTGCTTGCTCATCAGTTATTTTACGCAAAGGAGAGCCACCACCAATTGCAGCATACCCTTCTTTCGATTTCGGTGCGCGAACTACAGATATAAATTTCGCTATAGTCCCTTGGAGAAATTGAAATGGTCTGGGAAGCCTTATAATATCCTGCAACAACAGAAGCCACAGATTAATCAATCACCATTCCACATGACTTTATAACTCAAACTCTCACATGAACTACAACGGAATGGAAAATACGATCGAAGTAGAGATTCTCACCGGGTCTGCAAACAGATTATACAAGAAAGGTTGCACATCATTCAGGGTTTCTGGGCCACCTAAATTCAAAAGCAGGACACCAATTTTATCTTCAGCAACATGAGAACGGGTTTTAGCTGCAGTGTCATCATAAGAGATTTCTCCAGCCACAGAATGAGCTTGCTCGAACACATTCGTCTTGAAAGAACTCAATCCACGGTGCATGATCGTAACAGACCCTTCAGGTTTCGGTTTGATGAGTCCGAAAGATATCTCTTTTGATTGACATCGAACCAAAGACAACGAATTTCTCTCAGAAGATGACCTGTAGAGACATAAACCAATCAATAACTATCCAAAATTCGCTCCCTAGACTTATCAATCCTCAGGTATGATCAGTTTCCATGGCAATTCAAATCAACAATTCGCGATCGATCGTAAAACTCTAAAACGACAATAAAGGAGACCAAATCGATGGAGAACCCATACAAACCTGGGAAATCTGTAACCTTGAGGATTCAGAACAGGACGAAACCCAGCTGATAAAGCCGTCGCCTCCATAGCTAAAATTTCCAAATCGATCAACAATTGCGAGC